TTCTTCGGGCCTGCAAAGTCACGGCCCAGCTGTCGCTGGGATTTCCTAGCCCACTGCCCTGGCTGTCTGGTGCCGTTTCTGGCACGTTGCAATGGCTATTCCAGGAGTCCCACTGGCCGAAATAACTTCTGGCCGCCCCCTTCATTGTCACTAGCCCGTGGCATTACCCGCACAAAATCCTCTGTTACTCTCACACGCCAGGGGCACCCACCTTTACCCAGTTCCTCGGGCTCAAGGCGTCACCCTCTTAATTTAGGCACCCACCCGTAGGTGCCGACTCCGTGGGTGCTGCGGGGCTGGAGCACCCATGGGGAAAATTTAGCTCCGCACCCACCGGCAGCCAAGTTCTCCCCACCCCGCCTCCTCCCCCCCTCGCCTGTCTTCTTGGCCACGTGGCCTGGGAACCCGTCCCATGGCTGCACCTGGCCCCGAGCATGCGACGGATGCAAGCTGGGTGGTGCTGATCCTGGCTGCAGATCTGCACTGCTGCCACCAGGGGGCAGCCTGTACCCATTTCTGCTGGGCTGCCAGTACCCGACGGGACGGGGGAAAGTGATCGGGTGGGTCAGATCCAGTGCGCTGCTGGGGACTTGCGGGTCTGGCTCTGGGTCCGACCCCCTAGTCCAGGGTCCCATCTCCAGGCCAGTCGCCCCTGATGACAAAGAAAGAGCCTGTGCGCACTGGGACTTGCAGAAAGCAGGGCCCCTCCCCCCATTTCCCTGGGGGTTCACCCCACCCAGCCCTGGTGTTTCCCTGCCCGCTCAGCACCCCCCAGCCAGGCCCTCGGTGCAGGACGTGGGGCCCTGGCGTAGCCCTCTGGACACTGACACTTCCAGGCCCCTGTGTGAGGAGAGCAGGCGCCCAGCCTGGCGGGGTCTGGATTCAGAAAGGTCAACGCCTGGAGGGACCAGTGGCCCACCTCTCAGCAGCGCCCCTCTGCCTGCCTGTCCGGCCGGAAAGATGAACAAGCATCGGATCCGTTCCAACACTGCAGGGGCCCCAGACAGCAGCGGGCACAACCCCGTGGATTTGGGGGAAATTGCAAAACCGAAAGGAAGAAAACGAGGGACACTCGGAGCCCCGGCCATCTGATGAGCTGATCCACCACCTCAGGCTGCTCTGCCATTGTCTATAGCAGTGGTTCCCACGCGGGGTCCCCCGAGGGCCTGCTATGCGGGGTCCCTCCCTTGAGCCAGGCCCAGAACATGCTTCTGCCCCATGGAGGAAGCTATCCTGTTCTCCACGTGGTGCCCCAGGCGCAGCGCGCGAGGCACATGGGAGGTCATGATCCGGTAACACCGGAAAGGAAAGGGGGGTGGGATACTCAGTAAGACGCCAGAAGGGCCCTTAGGGGAAATCACTGGCCTAGAGCCCAGAAAACTGGCCACTGGCCCCATTAACGCCTCTCAGCATAACACCCTGTCTCATCTCGGCCCTTCTCCGCAGAGTCTGCCCCCTGCCCCAGGCAGGCAGAAGGGAAATAACTAGATGGATAGGAGAAGATTGGGGGCAGGGAAGAATGGGGCATGTACACAGCCCCTGCAATAGGGGAAGGGGAAAATGAGCCCCACACGGGCCTCCTCGGGGAGGGGGTATGGAGATGCACACAGCCTCTGGCACGAGGGGAAAGGCGAGAACAGGGAGTAAACAGGAACGGGGCCACTCATGGAGCCTCTGCCATAGGGGATGCTGAGTTGAGGGCAAGGGAGAATGGGGGGCACACACAACCCCTGGCCCAGGGAGAGGCAGGAAAGTAGGCACCCAGAACCTCTTACGAGGGGAAGGTTTGAGGGAGGGGGTTGCAGGGAGTCCCTCAAATAGCATGGAATGGGAGGGAGCTTGTTGGGGGGATGCAGGGAACCCCTGGGCTGCACAAAGATTTCAGCCCACAGCAGCAAGCTGTCTCGTCTGGTCTGATCTCCTGCCTAGGCCATGTTGGCGGAAACATCTTCCGGACAGGCAGTGCTGGCAGCAGGGTGCCAGTCCCAGGGGGCACCAGGGGCCAGCTGGAAACTCCGGCATTTCCAGATTTAAAAGAGGAAAAATTCCTGGGGAAAGGGGTTTGCTGCAATTTGTCATTAACAAAGGGCGACGACGCGGCCCCGGTTCGCCCCAGGAGAAGTCGGCGCAGGTTTTGGCCTGACAAAACTTTAAGCCCCTTGGCTTGAAGAGTGAGTGTGTGTGTGTGTGTGTGTGTGTGTGTGTGTGTGTGTGTCGGACAGTTCATTCCAGTGGTTAGTTCCCCCCCCCCGGCCTGACCTCTAATCCCAGTGTCCCCGGCTTCAGCTAAAAGTACTTTGACACGGCTCCAGTCACCTCCTGCTCGGCCAGCCCCTGGGAGCGCCAGCCCCGCCCTGGCGGCAGTTCTGGGGCGGTGCTACACCCTCCCCCCCTTTTCCTGCATCATCTTTACAATGCACCTGCCCGAGCTGGACGCCAGGGTGCAGCATCGGGCTCCCCAACACCAGGTGCGGAGGGAAAGTTCGGTGCCTGCTACAGGGCCGACCCAAGGGGGCCACCCCCCATCCCCAGTGAGGGCGGCCCATGCTGGGTAAGTCTGCTGCAGTCAGGGGTTGGCTTTTTAATTACCCCCGATCAGGAGCTGGGGACCTTTCCCTGCAGAACCTCCTGTGGCCCAGCCCCTCCTGGGCGCTGCCCCCTGGGGTGCCAGCCCCGTCCTCAGCCCGGCTGGAGCTAGTTGAACCCAGTTCTTGCCCCAACGCAGCCTGGAGCAGCAGGCAGACAGCTGGTTACAGGGGCCCTGGTGCAGCACCCGGGGCCTGCACCCTCAGCCAGAAGGGGAGCTGGGTGTGGAGCTTCCCTTAGTAAAGCCGCTAGGAGACGGAGGTGCGGCCAGCCAGCTGCCCCCCTTCCCTGTAAGGGGAGTGAGGAGCAGGGCCTGGGCTGGGAGACCCCCCGGCGGAAGCTGAACGGGGCAGCTGCCTGGATCAGGACCAGACACCAGGCCTTGGGCCAAATGCACTGGCCCAGGGGGCCAAGCCCCAGGCCAGCCCTAACCCTACTACGCTGATCACCCCTACAACAGGCAGGGAAGGGCACAGGGGCGCAGCCCCAGGCCCTGCTGAGGGGCTCAACTTCCCCAGCTGCACTGCCACTGGGGGGGGTCCCTCCCTGCTGAACCCAGGCTTGGGGATCAAAGCTCAGAGGAAGCCTGTGACCCCGGAGAGAAGGGGCAGGTGCTCTCTCCCCCCTCCCCCAGGGGAGCTGCTACCATCCGTCACCCCACAAACCACCGCGGGGGCTCGCCGGGCAAGGTCCCCTGCCCCGCAGGTGACAGGCACCGAGGGGAGGAGCAAGCCAAGCAGACGCTGGGGTGACACGGCCTGGCTCGGGCCTGGCTTGACAAACAGACCCGGGAGGAAGAAAAACGGTGCATGTTCAAAGCTGTTTTTATTGGCCACGTTGCAGATGAGTCAGCGCGGGCTGGGAGGGGCGCTGGGCATTACCACGGGCCCCCCCAGCCGCCCAATAAACACAAGTCACAAAATACAGCACAGGAAAATAATAATAATAATAAAAAAAAAAAACCCCTAAACTCTCCCCATCCCCCAGCGCTGTCCCAGACGCAAAAGGCCGCAGCGAACCCCACTCCAGCGCTCAGCACAAAGGGACCCACGGGCAAAGCTTGGTCACGAGGGTACGGAACATGGCACGCGGCGGCTGGCACGGCGCAGGCCCCGGCGATAGAAGCAACACGGCTCTCCCGCTCGACGCGCTGGCGACGACGGGGCGGACGGCACGGCCCAAAGCGGCGGCAGGTCTACGTACGCAGGGGCGCTAGCTACGGGGGACGGCGGGGCAGCCCCTGCTCAGCGTGCCCAGGGGGGATCCCCCAGGGCGATGCCAGTCTTCCCCCAGCAGGAGAGGTTGGGGCAGGCTGGGCACAGGACCCCACCTCCTGGAGTTGCCACCCAGGGCTTAAAGCTGCCGGCAGGGATGGTCTCGCAGCCCCACAAGGCCTGCAGTGGGGCGCAGTGGCACCTGGCCTCTTTCCCATGGCATCATCCGGCCCTTGCTGTTGGAGGCTTGGGGGTCAATGGAACATGGGGTTCCCATGGGGGGGGCTCATGATGGCAGCAAACAGCCCCTCAGGGGTGTAATGATGGGGGTAAAAGCCACCAGAAGGGAGGGCTCAGCCCCCGCTGGGCCAGCTTAGGGCTGGAGGGGCTGCAGCCTGTGGGGGGCAGGGGGACACGCACACCACGTGCTCACAACAGCAGCAAAAGCAGGGGCTGTACAGGGGGTGGGGGCCGTTCACAGTATTCTCAGGGGGGGCGGACGGACGGGCACAAGGCCACCTCCTGGCATTGCAGCCGCACTCCCCAGCTCCCCCACCGGGAAAGCCGAGCAAGGGCAGAGACCGAGGGGCAGGGCGGCTCGGACAGCCAGAGGGCAGCACCCGGGGCCTCCAGGCCAAGCTCCCGCCCAGCCCAGGCCATGGGGCTCTGGCTCAGCCCCGCAGGGAGGGAGCCAGGCCCCCCCCTGCTGTAGCCACGGAGCTCCTCAGAGCAAGAGTGGAGGCAGTTGGGGACACGGGCCTCTGCCTCAGTGCTCCACAGCTGCCCCCAGCCCAGCCAGAGCCACACGCCCACAGGGGGGCAACCAGGTAGGGTGACCAGATGTCCCGATTTTATAGGGACAGTCCCAATTATTGGGTCTTTTTCTTATATAGGATCCTATTACCCCCCACCCCCTGTGCTGATTTTTCACACTTGCTGTCTGGTCACCCTACAGCCAGGAGCCACAAGACGTGGGGGGGGGGCGTATTTTGGAAGTGAGTCAATGCAGGGCGACAGGCCAGAGCGGCCCAATGGGAGAGGGGGGGAACCAACCCCCAAGCCCAGCCCGCTCCCCCCAAGGTCCCGTCCCTTGGTCAGCTGCTCACAGTAGGTGGTGGGGGAGGGGACGCCGCACAATCTGCTGCCCCCAGCCCCGCCAGACTAGCCCACAGACAGACGAGGCTCAGCCCCCGCGAGCCAGGCCGAGCTCCACAATCCATCCCGGCTCAAAGCGGCGGTGCCGAAGCTTCCTGCTCCTCCAGCCAGATTAAAACCAAGTCCCCGACAGCGTCAGCAAGGGAGGGGGTGGGGAGGGGTCCCCTCAGTTAACTAATGGCACAGACGGCTGCAGGCTGCGGGCTGTCCGTTTGCAGCGTGTCCCCCGCGCGCACACACACACCCCCCCCCGTTTGCATGGGCGGGTTTGATTGGCTTTGTTTGGTTTGTGTTTCACAAAGCCAGTAGCGAGGGAGAATTCAAGGAGTCCGAGGAGTGGTCGCTGCTGCTGTTCCGCTGGTGTGTGGCTCCGCAGGTAGATCCCTCTGGGTAGGTGAACACAAACGAAGATGTATATGAAGGGTTAACAGGGTACGGGGCGCTCAGCAGCTCACCATGTGTAAAGTAAGAACTAGAAAACGCTACCTCCGCTGGGCCCGCCGCGCCTGGCGCCGGCACGCCGAGGCTCTGCTGGTAGTGGAGGGGCACAGACGGGTAGGCGGCTGGCCCGAACGGGTCGTCCTTGACGGGCATCCCCAGAGAGCTCACCTCCGTCGACGGGCCGGGCTGGCCGCCCAGCTCGGGCATGTCCTCGTAAGGGATTTTGCAGCCGGGTTTGTGCGCCACGAGGACAAATTCCAGGCGCTCTTTCTCCTTCTGCAGCTCCGCGATCTCGGACTCCAGCCCTGCCTTCTCTTCCTCCAGCTGGTCGGTCTCCTGGGGGGGAGGGGGAGCCAGGGTCAGCAGGGCCAGGAAGAACAGGGCTACGGGCCCCAAGCTAGGCCAGCCTGGGAGTCCGCTCCACACACACAGCCCCCTCCCCGGGGGTCAGCGCCCCGATGCCCCAAGCCACCCCCTCGCGGCCAACCCCCGGGCCGCAGAGCACTGTAGACCCAGCGAAGCGTCAAAACCCTCCTTCCGCCCCCCGCCACACTATTACCCCCCCGTTCCCGGCACAGCTCCCCTCCCTGGAGCCGGCAAACGAGAGACGCACCGTGGCACAAGCAGCAGCAGCACGATGCGCCCGGCACTGGCAGGGCCACGCCTGCCACTTCAAGGGGCTGTTCTGCCTTAGGGTATGTCTACACTACAGGATTAATCCGAATTTAGATAATTCGAATTTGGGAAACAGGTTGTATAAATTCGATTGTGCGCGGCCACACTAAGCACCTTAATTCGGTTTTTAACCACAGTAATTCGGTGGTGTGCGGCCACACTAACCCTAATTCGAATTAACAAAATCGATTTAGGCTCTACTCCGTTCGTCGAGGTGGAGTACAGAAATCGATTTAAAGGGCCCTTTAATTCGAATTAACTGGCTCTGTAGTGTGGACGGGTGAAGGGTTAATTCGGATTAACGCTGCTAAATCCGAATTAATCCCGTAGTGTAGACCAGGCCTTAATCGGGGAGACGGAGCTAAAGCTGCCACCCAGCCAGCGATTCCCAGGACCGTCCCTTGTGGGAGGTAGCTGCCCTGGGGCACCTGGAATGGTGCCCAGGGTCACGATCATCCTGGATGTCCTGCTTTTTGTACCTCGGAGGTGGCAGGCCTAGACTGTGCCCCGCCCCCACCAGACTGTCTCCGCCCCCAGCAAAGGGCCCTGGGAGGACCACCCTGCCCAGGCGCTTGCCCCAAGCTGCCATGCTAGCACCCAGACAGCTGCAGGACCAGAACAGGGAGCCACCACTGCTGTTCTGGGCATGGGCAGGGAGGGAGCTTGCCGCTAGCCCCACCCTGCACCTGTGCTGTGTGCGGCGGCGGCATAGCCACGGGAAGGGGCCACGTGAGCACTCACCGCCTGGAGTCGGTCCGTCAGCTCCCGGCGCCGGTTCCGGCACTTGGCCGCTGCCAGCTTGTTCCTCTCCCTGCGGACGCGTCGCTTCTCCTCCTCCTCCGGCGTCAGCTGCAAGAACCAAGGGGGCTGGTCAGCCAGGGGCTCTGGCCCAGGGCCCTGCCCACCTACCCTCTCATGCAGCAAGGCCAGGTAGCCCAGCCCCACCCCTCCGTGTTCAGGGCCTCCCTCAGCCCCATGTTATGGGGAGCTCTGCCTACGCACCAGTGCAGTCTGTGGCCTCTATCCTGATCCCCCTCCCTTCCCCACCCACCATGGGGATCCCCGTCTGGCTAGGAACCGCACCAAGCTCTCAGCTACTAGACAGCCGCTGGGGGAGACCAGCTCTCGTTCCCAGGGGACTGTACACTCCGTATCCATACCCGATTTGCTAAGGCCCTGCAGCCTGCATCAGAGCAGCAGGAATCACTGGGTTATGCCAGCTGGGGAAGGAGTCCTATGGCTCCTCCCCACTTTGGGGGCGCAGCTGAGCCAGACTTCAGCCACATCACTCTGCCCGGTGCAGCCCCCAGACATCTCGCCTTGGGACGGGCAGCGCCCTCCCCCCCATTATGCTGCCCCCCCCCCGTGCCCACTCAACCCTGCCAGGCAGGCCGAGGAGCCGAGCTGGTGGCGTGGGTGCCCTACATGGCTGGGTGCGGTTCCCACTCGCCAGGCTCGCAGATGCCAGGTTCCCCACCTCCGGGCAGGGGGCACGGAGAGGGGGGTAAGTGATGGAGTTAGTAACCTCATTGCTGATGCCCCAGAGGAAGTTCGACAGAAGAAGAATGTCCCCCAAGTCCGCCCAGCTCACCGTTTCCTCCCGTGTCCTCCGGGGCCGAGCCCGAGCAGAGCTGGGCGATGGGGCGGCGGCTCCGGCTGTCGAGGGGCCAGCGCTGTAGGCGCCCATCCCCGGGGTGGAATAGCTGGTCCCGGGCAGGTCATAGGGGTCCACTGCAGGTGGTGGCTGCTGGTGAGACATCTGTTGGCCCTGAGGCTGCGACTGGGCCATGGAAGAGATCAGAGTGGGCTGTACCAACCACTGCAGGTCCTGGCTAGTCGTTATGGCAGTGACTGTGGGCACGAAGGAGCCGGGCATCTCCCCGAGGCCACTGCACTCCTGAAACACAAGGACACAGAAGGCGGTCAGGGGCTGGGCAAGAGCATGGCGTGAACACGTCTCCCCCAATCCCAGCCTGTGGCAACCAGTGCCCACTACCGCCAGACTCCCAGAGACGGGGTGTTAGAGTCCCCCTCCCCGCCCCCCCCCCGAGACCCCCTGGCCATGACCCATCAGGGAGAGCAACACGCAAGGCAGGGGGAGGGTGCACCCTAGCCCACCTACAGGCCCGTCTGCCAGCCACGACACACGGTCAGGCCTGACACGGAGACCAAAGCCGCGCAGCAGGTTTCACGTTCCTCTGCCCTCATGGTGGCTGCTGGTGAAAGTTGAATCGCCAGCCCCGGAGACTTGGAGGCATTGCCTAAGCGCTGCACTGTACAGACATCCCCCTGCTCTGCCCCCGGGGTGTGCCGAATTCAGTCACTGGGACCCATCCCATCCAGGAGAGCCAATGGGGGGGGGGCAGGGGGGACAGTTAGCAACAGTGGGGGGCAGTTTAATGTGGGCACCTGGGCAGAAGGAACTGGGCTGAGACCCACCAGACCCATTCCCTGCCGGCACCTTGGATCAGGTGCTCAGGTACCAAACGGCTCCCTGCCCCAGCCACTAGGAGAGGGCCCCTGTCCCACGCAAGTAGCCCTGGCTCCTGAATTAGTCTGTTGTAGGTTACCAGACCCCAGGGCACCCCAGACCAAAGGGCCCAGCTATAAATGGCTCTGCAGAGAAGGCAGGCCAGGCTCGTGAGCTCCACTCCCTTGTCTCAGAAGAGGGGCTTTGTGCGCGTCTCACACACAGGTTCGAGGACGCAGCGGGGCAGAAGAGACCTTTATTTGCAGTTCCAGACTTTCAGGCCTCAGAGCGCCAGGGTCCGCACAAGCCTAAAAATAACACTCCCGTCTCTGCTGGGCGGATCTTTGGGATCTGGCGGTGGGATTCCCTCCCCAAGCCGAGCCCTCGCAAGAACCCAGCGATCCACGCGGGGTGGGGTGAGGCGTTAGTGGGACGGGAACGGGGAATGCTTAGAGCCATGCCCACCCCCCCCAGGCTGCAAGGTTTCCAGCCAGCTCCCTTCTGACAGGGGCATGACATTACCAGCTGCCCCCCCCCCCACTCTGGCCCCTATCCCTGGGGGCTTCCTGGTGCCCCGGGTTTGCTGACCAGGTGGGTGACCCCCCCCCATCCTTCGGGAAAGGGGCTGTCCCAGCGGACGGCTCTGCCCCATGCCCGGTGGGGTCACTGACACCAGGGCAGGGGCAGAGAATCCTGGCCAGAGAGCCCCTTGTGCCCACAACCCCACAGGACTGGGGG